GTTAGCAGGTATATTTACTCTATTACTATAAAATGGTGATTTTCTTTATCTCTAACTTAATCACATATTTTTCATATTAATTTGAAACTCCAGGAAGAGCAAACCTTACTAATACAGATTGTACATTTATTTCTACTCTAATCAGATCCTGAAAATAGTTGTATGTTCTATATTCACTTATGAAGATTTGTTAAACTTTCCTTTGAATATTGTGACTTTCATCTTCCTGTGACCTCTGTTATGCAGCCAAAATATTCCTGCAGTTTAGAAACACCTCTTTTTTGTAATACTCTCAAAATGGCCCTTTTTAGGATCTGTGCTTGGGATCTAGTCTTTACAAAGTGTGGTTTCTCTTATTGATTATTCAGTGCTACACTCTTAAGAATAGTGTCCCTTGAGGCCAAGGAGACCACAGATCATGATAAAAGAATATTCAACAAATGTTTTTATCTGAGATCCAGTCTTTATATTGCCTGTCTATGAGGACACAGAAATGTTTTAGTAAAACAGGCATTTCTGAATTCACTATCATTTTAAAAAATGAGCAATATTTGGGTATTAGATGCTTTGCGGGGAAAAATCACTTAGTGTATAACAACATTCTCCATTTTTGGTCTCAAAACTCACACATATTATATTGATATATATGTTGTTGTCTGGCAACCCAGGCAAAAACCGAGATTTGAGTGAAGAGAGGGGGTCTCACACACATCGTCTACCTCCCATCCTGCTTTCATTTACTTGTGTGAAGACTAATTTTGAAAAAAGTCACATTTCCCATTTGGATGATCTCATTTGCTATTTTCCTTGGGAAATAGACACTTTTTTATGCTTAACTTTGAGTATTGGCTGACTGAAGTAAATCTGAATTTCTAGTTTTTTAAATTATCCAAATGATCTACAAGAAAAAGCCCTTTATGATTCACAAAGTGGAGAAAAATGTGACGAATACAAGTGTTCAATCCACATATTGAGGCAAAGTTTGTTCAAATCTATTTACTTTAGAGTTCAGTATAATTTCCTTTAGTGTTTCTAGAAGGAAACCATGCCATTCTCTAGGACAGGGTAGCAAACTTTCTCTGTAAAGGGCCAGATAGTAAATATTTTCCACTTTGCCTGCCATATGGTTTCTGTTACAACTACCTAACTGTGCTGTTGGAGGGTGAAATTAGCCATAGAATGAAAATATAAGTCATAATATATAAAGTGGGCCAGGCTGTACTCCAATAAAACTTTGTTTAGAAAAGAAGTTTGAGGGTGGGGGCAGATTTGGTCCTCAGGGTTTTCCAACCCCTGTTGGTATCTAGTGAACTACAAGGGAAAAGCAGAAAGCAGAAAGTTAAATGATGTGAGAAGGTAGTTTTGGGGTTTCTTGCCACCTCCTCATTGAGAGTAGACCCTTAGCTCTTTCTTCGAAAGCATTATATTATCTTAAAAAAATTCTATCACACTCCTAAAAGCTATAGTTTACAGAAGATCCTTTAGTCTTCTTTCACGGTCAAACTCAGTTAAGAGTAGTGGCATGCTTAAACAAGGGATTGCTTTTTAAATGCCATTTTCCTCTTTGCTATGATTTTATTTAAAGAGAAATGTGAAGTAGTATTAGTGATGATCAATATGGTTTTAGGACTCCTTCTCTAGAATGAGTACAGTATTAATAGGTTAAGTTGGCAATGAGCAGAGAGAAAGAAATCTAGACCTGAAACTGTATAATTCATCCCTAACTCCCCTTTCCCCCACTCATGTTTTTGGTTAAAGAATAAATAATAACCAAATCTTTGAAAAGTCCTAAAATCTTTCTATGCTCATTGCAGGGCAAACACAACACTTTACAGATGCCTTTTCTGGAAGAGATGCAAGTATTATGGGATTGCCACTGGCTTTTTATTATGGAATGTATGCATATGCGGGCTGGTAAGTTGATATCTCTAGATGTAGTGGTTTGTATGGTTCATTAATTCCTTCAAGTGTTTTGATTAAATGCGAAGCAAGGTGCTAAGCAAATGTGAAGAGCCATAATCCAGTGCGATATGCTTTATCTGAAGTGAGAAAGATAGCATGGCTCCCTCCCCCAGGCCAATTACTGTGCATGTGACTTAACACAAACATAACTGAGATTTCCAGTGAAGGCAACTACTAGATTTAGCTTGATATTGTAAAAAACAAACAAATGCTGAGTCTTAAGAACCAGTACAAATCACTTTTAAGTATGTATCAGTAAGGACATAATAGTGCCATGAGAAATTAAAGATTAGTACTTTGCTTGTCAAAAGGCCTTTCAGCTGAAGCTCCCAGGGTGTTTACACACAGTGATTAATTGACTTTTCTCCACTTTGCCATGAGAAAGAAGTAATTCAGATATAGAAATAAGTAAGGTGTTCCCAGGAGGTAAAATGGTACTCTAAAGGCAGGAAAGGAGAAACCAAGATAATGAAATCAGGTGTACGAGATAATCTGTTACATTTTAAAGGGCCTTACAAAATCCTTAAAATTTCCTCAACGTTTGAAAACAAAATATGCGGTAAAGATGATTAAAATCACTATGCCATGGGTACACTTCCTTTGATGCGTGTCCAACTGTGATACTGTTCTGGTTGAAGCATTAGAACTTTGTATTTATGCCTCACTTTGTTCAGGAACTTGAATAACAATAATCATGGATAAGAGTGCGACTTTTTCCTAATTAAATTTTATTGATCTAGTAAGATTTAGTTGAAGTGACTATTTCAAGAAAGCCCAATAGATAGAAAAGTATTATTTAAACATCAAAATCACTGTAGTAAAATTAAATTTCACTGTTTTGAAGTAATGAGTAGCAATATTTCTTTTTTATTATTTATAGAGCTAATCGTGGTATAACTTTAGCTGCGAGAATGTTCTATGGGCCTAAGAATAGTATCAGAAAACTACAGTAGCTCAAAAATTATGTAAATGCATTTCAAACACAAATATAATTTCGTTTTGTTTCTTTAGTTTTTATGATCTTACCTTCCAGCTAATGCATGGAATATAAAGATATATTTCAAAATACATGAAGTGTTTACCCTATTAATCTCATTGAATTATGAAAATATAGTGTTAGAGGAGAATGAGGAGAGTACAGGAACTTAAAATTTTAACATGGCTTTTGAAGCAAAATATCTTTGAAGGTCATTAGAAATTGGTAGGTCTAAGGAGTCTAGTGTAAAATATTTATATATTCCCGGAATATTTTTATAGCCATTGTGTGTAAGCATTAGTCTTGAATCACTCAGTAGTTTTGAAGTCTTTTTTGTTTTTGTCCGAAGTACAATGTGATGTGAGGAAAGAACAGAGTTGTGATCACAGGGTTAGCAGCAGAATAAACTATTCTATGGCTGTTCAGCTCGGATCAGGGCTCTGGAGCCCTGGGGCAGCAGCCAAGCTACTGGGAGGGTCACCAGGAGACGCCAGAGAGAAGTGGGGAGGTGGCAAAAGCTTTCAGCTGGAGCCAAGTGTTGGGAGCACGGCAATATTCAATCAGGAATTTGGAATGTGCAGAGTCACGAGGGAGATTTGATTAATTCTGTTGAATGAAGTCTCTTTTGCCTGTGAGTACCATGCATCTGTTCCCACGGACTCCTAAAATATTCTTCTGCCCAACTCACTCCCCCACGACCAGCACTGATATTCAGGTCACCTGCTTTATGGAGAGCAAATCTTCTCCACTTCTGTAGGCTTTGGAGGGCTGATAGATTTTCCCAGGTACAAAGACTCTTTTCATTTTGAATTATCTTATTATCTTAACATTTAATTTTATTGATGCTGAATCCAAAATGTTACTCTTCTTAAAATGATTACAGATGACAATTTAGGTGAGACAAACTTTAATGAATACTTCATGAAGCAGGGAGTCTCCCCCCTCAAGAGTCCAGAGAACTGCAGAATAGGGCAGAAGACAGGAGGCTTTTATAGGATGAAGAATAAAGAACAAGGAAGAGAAAAATAGAAAATGAATAAGGAACAAGGAAATAAGTATAGAGCCCAGAGTTGGCTTGGCATTTGCAGATTGAGTGGCTCCATCTTGGGTCTAGAAATTTATTTCAACACTCTGTTTACAGAGTAAATGAGGTTTACATGAACATTCATTTATACTTCTACCCGTATAATCCTCATGTCTACTCCCTGTTTTAAAGAACAGGAAACTATTGATTTTCTTCTATTCTTGAGGGGTCAATCATGGTATCAGAACTTAAGGCCAGGATTTTAAAGGGAATGTTATCTGATACAAGTGGCTTATGTAGGGTACAGATAAGTAACTATGTTTCCATAACAGGTTGTTATGCTACTTGGATGCTGCTTTGTGGATAGGTAGAAATAATCTGGTTGTTAATCAGTGGCCATCAGTTTAAGATAAAGGAAGCTGTGTTTAGAAGAAATAGGTTCTTGGCTTTGAGTTCCAGAGGAAAAGTTAATATCTGGATGTAAATGGAGCAAGATGGAGACTAAAAGAGTTCCCACAGAGAAGGGGTATTTATTCTCTTTCCAAATGTGATCCTGCCTCTCTGACCTCTCTCTGTCCTTCATAATATAATTACAAGACTGGGTTGTGGAATTCTAAATGGGGCACTGTAAATGAACCTCCACTCCCTGTGCTGCTGCTGTGACAATGTTTGATGCAAGAAAAAGTGAGGGGGACATAGCAAATAAGTAAGACAGAGCAGCTGTTGTCGTCAGAACCTAACCACCTGGAGTGTGAGTAAAAGCAGCAAGACCTAGTTGTCCTGGAGGCCTTGCTCTGTTGGCAGTTCAGCTCTTTCATGTTGAATAGGGAAAAGACACTGCCAAACCTTGGATCTGAATAGGGTAGGCTTTTGGCTATAAGGAGTGCAGAACCTTTTTAGAATGATGAAAACTCCTTCACGCAAACATAATTAGAAGGAAAGAAGTCATTAACCCAGCCAGGTCACAGAGTTGGGTCAGAACAACTTTAATATTATTGCCAAAGTCTGCATTCAGAGAAATATGTCTGCCAGTCTCCTGTGTGGACCCGGGGGAACTCAACCAATTTCAGTCCCATATCCTGATCCAAACTTAAATATTGCTTGGTGGGATTTTTTTTTTTTAACTGTGTGATAAAAAATAGTTTTTCAGTGTCTTTTCTCTCCCTTTTAAATCCTGTCCTCAGTGGCTTTAGTCTTTCTAAAGCACCTGCTGGGATTATTTTGTACCGTTGTATCAAATCTAATCTGAAGAATAAACTTCCTTTTAAAATAGTTCACATAGTTGGGTACTGGAATGCATTGCCAGCTTTGCGGTGCCTTTTATACACCATCATGGAAAAGCTGGAATGAAAGATCTTGTGAACATTCTCTAGAGGCCTTGAGAAGATGTAAAGCAATGAGGATGCTCTGGACTCATTGCTGGAGACTAGGAGAGCATAAAGATGCATTTCCCACAGGATGTGAATGCTTGGACCAAAATAAGAAGCTTTCTCCTTCTCACCCCTGACTCTGCCCCAAGCCCTTTCCTTTTCTCTAGAGCTATGGCAAATACTTGAAATTGTGTTCTTTTTTCATAAATATTTCCTTTCTTGCTTTAACATTGTTGGAAAACACCAGTTTCTAAAACAACTGTTAAGAAGGAACTGACTATTTTTGACACGAGAAGCCTGGAAATATTTCTTACTGTGTGTGGTTTATTTTTTGGCAGGGGATCGGGGGGATGGGGGAGGTTGGTTTTTTTTTTTTTTTTTTCACATTTTCTTCCTGTACTTCTCTTTGCCTCGGGCTTCTAACAAACACATCAAATCCCTAAGAGTGAATATTCTAGATAGAAGTATTGATCATTGCCTGCCTTCCTAGTATAACTACAACCTCTATTTTTAGAAATTACATTCCAGTCATTAAAAAATAATCCTTGATTGCTAACATTTTAGATCACCTTTATTGTTCCTGTTCTCTCAGCTATTCAAATGGTTCCACTTAAAGCATGGTCTTTAAAATAGTAGACACCTTAACCTTGTTAAAAGATAAACTGAGGCATATCGAAAATTTCAAGAGTGTTTTTAAGCAAAACAGATTTGAATCAGGCATCATCCAGTTTAGAAAGGAGCTCTGAGCAGCTGTACAAAAGGAAAGACTGTCAAAGGCAGAAGGGAGCAGGAACAAGGAAGTTACACTGGACAAAAAAGCAGGTTGGTTATTGCAAGTTTGCTTTCCTTTAGCGGATGGCAGGGGTCTATTAGGCGGATGACCTAATTAGTGCTGATCAGGCGATTCCTGATTGACTGGTTTAAGATTCCATTTCTGGGAGAGCCAAAACTGTAATTAAGTTAAGATTAAGTTTGGTGGGTGGGCCTTAGCATAAGCAACTCCATTTTGGGCCAGTTGTCTTGTTTTTAACAGCCATAAACATCAACTGCCTACTTATGAATTTAGATGGGGTTTTTATGAAGATGGAATAAGACAGGTTTTCTCATCTTTGTTTTAAGTTATGAGATACCTAAAGTGTATTAAAGGCTGATGGGCTAATATTCCAGCGATTTGGTTTGGATTATAGAGAATTTGTGCTTATAGACCTGTGCTTCTGTAGGAGTAAAGTAGCCTACATAATGGCTATTTTACTTTCTAAGGAATAATAAGAGAACAGGAGAGTATATTGAAAATATGACTGTTTTTTATTTTGTGGAAATTTCCTAAGCCTATAAAATGAAGAGGTAGAAAGGTCTTTGTCTTCGTATGTTTAGCTTTCCCCATTACAATCTCTGAGTTTTCGCATCTGCACGATCTAGTTACCTGTCTGTGCTTATTTGAGGATGGAGTCTGTCTCAATCTTACATCTGGGAAGCTTGAGAGAGAACTATAAGGGCTTTAAAGGGTCTCCAGCAGTCCCTTCAGATTGGAAAAAGAAGTCAAGATTGCAAGGCATTAAACATTCCTGGGTGGGATAAGCAGAGTCACAAAGTGAAGGAAAGGAATCTGAATTTCTCTAGGGCCGTGACTTTAGGGTAATATTTGCAATCCTATGGAAAGTGAAAGTGAAATATTGTGTGCCTAGAATGCTTCTTGTCATGTAAGCAGCCCCTAAAAGTGTTCAGGATTTGAGAAATACTCAAAATGTTCTGCTCTTTAGGTATTGACTCATAGTGTAATGAGTACAATGTGCCTAAAGTTAGCTGCCTTACTATACAAAAAAGAATAATAGCAACTTCATAGTCTTGTGACTTGAGGTTATTTGGATGGAATACATACTGGAAAACAGTGAATTGAGAGGAAGAAATGTGAATTGAGAATTTATTAACTTTTATCTCATTTTCGGTTCTTACTTCCCCTCTGTGTTTATATCAGTTCCCTAAAACTGATCAATGCTATTGTCATACTTCTGTTGCCCTATAAGTTTTGAGTGACCTGTCACCACTAATAAAATCTGGACTCCCAGAAGCCAATGGCTGTCTTGTACTTAAATTCTCTTCTCACTCCCCCTGCCACATCTTTATCCGTAGAATGCTAAACTGTTGCTCATACCCCTGTGCATAACCACTCCACCACACCCCCATGCTCATGGGCTATACTTAGTTTGGAATGTCCTGGCACCACTTCACCAGGGCTAAATATTAAGCATTTTTGAAGACTCAACTTGGGCAATACCTTCTCTAGAAAACCTTCCCTGACCTGCCAACCTGGGTTAGACCTCACCCCTGGCTTCCAGGGTGCCCTGTGCCTGCTCCAGAATTGCTTCCCGTGCTGCATCACACTATTCTATAGACCATTCTATAGACTATGAGCTCCTAGAGGAGAGACTATGGATTTTCCACTCTCCTTCCCCCCGTGACTGACACATCATAATCTCACATGTTGCTAATGGGAACACAAAAATGGTGGAAAATAGTTTGGCAGTAAATACATTTACCCTATGACCCAGTGATCATATTCTGAGTATATGCCCAAGAGAAATGATTGGATGGTTCCCAAATAGACATGTATAAGCATATTTATGGTACCTATATTCACAAGAGCTATAAATTGGAAGTAATCCAAATGTCCATCAACAGTAGAATGTATAGTGTTACATTCATACAATGAAAAGAAACAAGGAAAAATAATGAATTGCTGCTACATACAATACCTGGATAATAATCTCAAACATAAAGTCCAGCAAAAAAGCCAGACACCAAAGAATAAATATTATGTAATAGTTATACAAGAAAATATTAGTCTGTTGTGATGAAACAAGCAAAACTTATCTATGGTGATAAAAGTCAGAATAGTGGTCACCTTTACAAGAAGGTGGAGGAGATGGTATTGACTGGAAAGGGCCATGAGGGAACCTTCTAGGGTGCTAGAAATGCTTTATTTCTTGATCTTGTTGTTGGTTACATAAGTATATAAATATGTAAAAATTCTTCAAGCTGTACATTAAGATTTGTACACTCGACTGTTCATATCTTACACTTCTAAAAAGTTAAGAAATAGAAAAGAACTCCATAAATACGGTTTAATAGAAAATGATTTGTGGGAGCTTATGGTTGTTAGAGATTTTCATCTTACTATAAATATTGTTTTACAAAGTTTTCATAATTTTTGGTTTGATTTTAAATTTAAAATTTGAAACTGTGTACTATAATTATAAAATGTGTTAATAGTTTGTAATTTATTTATATCTTTTTAGGTTTTATCTCAACTTTGTTACCGAAGAAGTGGAAAATCCTGAAAAGTAAGTAACCACATTTACTCTGAAATATTTATAAGAAATAAAATGTAAATTTAGTCAGCCTTGGTGATCTAGTGGTTAAGATTCAGCACTCTCACTGCTGTGGCCTGGGTTTGTTTCCCAGTCAGGGAACCACACCACCCATCAGTCGGTTGTTATACTGTGGCAGCTGTGTGTTGCTGGGATGCTGAAAGCTATGCCACCCGTATTTCACATACCAGCAGGGTCACCCATGGTGGACAGGTTTCATTGAAGCTTCCAGACCAGGAAGAAGGACCTGGCCACCCACTTCCGAAAAAAATTGACCATGAAAACCCTATGAATAGCAGCAGAGCATTGTCAGCTGCAGTGCTAGAAGGTGAGAGGATGGCACAAAAAGACTGAGCAGGGTTCCGCTCTGCTGTACACAGGGTTGCTAGGAGTCAGAATTGATTTGATGGCACTAACAATCAAAAAATATATAAAGTTATATAGTTGAAAAAGTAGACCTAAAGAAGGAATTCAGCATGAGCTAATCAATTTTATCATCATCATTCTCTTAGGCAGATAAAATTTGATTTCTCATGAATTACATATAAATAACTTTATTGTATATTCTACATTTAATACTAAATTATCTGATAATCTGAAAGCAGAAAAGAGTAAAGTTATATTTTTGGTAATCTATCTCATAAAAACAACTTAACATGGACTCTTAGCTACCCACAAGTGTCCATAAGACATGAACTCCAAAAGTTGATTATTTCTAATAATTCATGTGAGTTTTTTCTTAGCTGTCTAATTAAAGAGAGTAATGTAATTAATGAACAATGAGTCACGAATACCTAGAAATAACTTTAGAATATTATAGAAACTTGTAAATTTTGGGAGGTAGGTGATTGCTTTTACTTTTTGTTTTAAGGTAACACTTTTGATGATTAGATGATTTGATGATAATTTATATATATGTTTCTAAAATGGGCTAGCTTAGAAAAATGAATTATTTTTATGGTTTGTGTATAAACATTTGACTTTGTACAGGAAAACGACATACTCTATAGGCAGAAGAGGGAAATTTTAAGTATAGAGTAAAATATAGACAGAATTATAAAGTTATTTAATTCCCCTAACTTTTATCGATCATCTACTATGTTTCAACCATTGTGCTAGGAACTTTTTTTGTGATAAATAATACTTGTGTTCAAGATTCTGTTATCTATTCAGTGAGTCAAATGTGTAAACAAATAAATATAACATGGTGTGATTGATACCATAATAGATTATTTACTCAATTTGACAGAGAGGAAAGGAGGAAATTCTTAATTCTATCTAGGGAGGTGTTGTTTATACAAAGTCTCAAATGAGAGTAGGTAAATATCACAGAGAGAGAGCTGGAGATAGAGATGGCAATACAGACAGAGAGAGAGAAAGGAAGAAAGACTTCCAAGCAAGGGAACAACAAGTACAAACAACAAGTACAACGGTATAAAATGACCGGGACATTGGAGAACATGCCTAAGGATTGACAATTCGAATTAAAGTAGCCTAAGAAATTCTGGCACCAAGTATATTGGGAGATAATCAGTTGATTGGATCTGGCCAAGAACTAGGGCTGCCAGAGTTTTGAACACACAAACCAGTAATTGAGGTTAAAATGATTATCTGGTTCAACAGTTATGCAAATCAGTGTGTAATTTAAACATGTGAAAAGGTATTTTATTGAGAACTATGACAAATTTATAACAGTATTGTCTTATTTATAACTGAATTGTGGTAGAGTTTATACATTTACTCGGAACTAGTTCTTTCTAGCATTACTTTGAAATTATAAGCTACCTTATGACTCTAAACCCATTGATGACAGAGGTAAATAGCTAGGCCTGTCTTTTTCGTTTTAGGGAATAATTAGTGTGTAAGTAGCAACATAGAGAAAAGGTGGCTCTTACTAGATTTTATACAAAATATTTATTGAATTTCCATTGTGTAAAAGAAATTACTATGGTTTATGACCATCTCTTTTAAGTCTAAAAACATTTTAAAGAGAACAATTACTAAAATCTAATATCAGAGAATATTTCTTATAAAAAAATGGCAAACTGTAGGTTTGTAGCTATGACTCATAACATAACATTTATTGTAGGGTACATTAGTGGCATAGATATAGTTCACATTTTCTTTTAATGTTATTTAGCAGTTTAAGCAACGTTTTTGTTTGCCGCATATACAGTAATACGATTGTGTATCTTAAGCATATTTTTAAACTATTTCTGCCATTATTATCCTGACCTGAATTTCTGATGTATTCTACCAGAGTGGTATGGCAGTCAAGAATTCTCTCTTTCCCTCTCTCTCTTTCTTAATTTAAAGGCCTTAGTTTCACATGTTAATAATATCCATGATTCAGTTTATACAAACACTAAAGAACAGTGATGTATTAAATCAGTGCTTTTTTTCTTACGAAGAAATTTCCTCATCTCAAAAAATGAGAATAGGGCTGGTCCTGTGGCTTAGCGGTTAAGTGTGCGCGCTCCGCTACTGGCAGCACGGGTTCGGATCCCGGGTGTGCACTGACGCACCGCTTGTCTGGCCATGCTGAGGCCGCGTCCCACATACAGCAACTAGAAGGATGTGCAGCTATGACATACAGCTAACTGCTGGGGCTTTGGGGAAAAAAAAAGGAGGAGGATTGGCAATAGATGCTAGGTCAGAGCCGGTCTTCCTCAGCAAAAAGAGGGGGATTAGCACTGATGTTAGCTCAGGGCTGATCTTCCTCACAAAAAAAAAAAAAATGAGAATAATAATAGCCCTTACCTCATTGGGTTGCGGTAATTAGTTAATGTGTGTAAAGTACTTAGAGTAGTGACTGTCACTTTTTAATATACACAATTCTTTGGTTTTGTTACTGTTATCACGTCCTTATTTTAGGAACAAGGTAAAATGTTATTCACGTAAGTGTTTCCTGGTTTCAATAACCAGGAATTGTCTTTCTTCAGTGTTTTTGAAATAAATATGAAGAGTTATTTCACACCATGTTGAAGCTTATTCTCGAAGTTTTCTCAGTACTGAAATTGAATATGCATTTTATGATCTCTCCATTCTTGTGTATCGATTTTATTGAATTTTTATATTTAGAGAGAATAAACTTGTATTTTAAAGGAAAAGCATACAATATAAGAGTTTTATAATAATTTAAAAGTAAACTAGCAAAAGTGATTTAGACTAAGATTATTATCACTGGTTACATTGGATGAAATATTTTCATTTTCTGGAAATTGTGATTCTGCAAACTTTATTAAGTATTCCTAGAATACTTACAATTTGATATTATATTTTAAGGTCTTAAACTAAGGGACTTCTCAGGGGAGATTAAATAAGAATCTCTGCATTTTTGAGATCAAGATAATGAGTAACTGCTAAGATAAATTGTAGGAAAAAAACCTCTGATACCATTTTGTTCTTTCATGTTAGATTCGCACATATTCAATTTTTACACAGAGGACTCTGTGTAAAACTTAGCCAACACATTTATTTTCTCAAAATCTGAATATGAGAAATCCACAAAATCCCCTTAATGGAAAGCAAAGGTTAAATTTGTGTTATGTATTTATCAACCAAAGAAATTTAGAGTTTTGAGCAATTTTTTCAATGTTTTAATTTTAAAATAACATAACAGTCCAGGTCTTTTAAAACTAAATCTTATTTTTCAAACACAGAGAATGCTTTGGGAAATATTTATGGTTGAATGTAGAGAACAGATGGTAAAATTATGTGGACCTAGTCCAGATGTGTAATTTGTATTATTTTTTAGGTAGACACAGCTCCAAAATACCTTTAGTTACAAGGGAGAACAATTATAATTCCATCTCCTTTGTGACGTGCCAAGATAAATGTGTTTCCCAATCAGTCACGGGTGCATGTGTCCAGGTGGGCTGCACAGTGCAACTTTCTGGCAGCTGGTGAAATGAATCATCAGCTGAAGATACAACACCTTTTACTATCCTCCTCCACTTAGACAATACAATTTACCTAAAATTGTGACCTCACAGAAAAAGTGATCACTAATTTAGATCAGTGAAAATAGCAGTGTGATTTAAAATATATAGAATGTAGAACAAAATTTCATCATCACAATTGACTACTCTACATATAATTTAATTTCAGTGGAAATCTTTCCTAACATTACTCTATGAAATAATTTCTGAACTGCTATCATGAGCGTGACTCACAGAACAGTTCCTTAAGTGTTAAGAGATAAATTGGGAGATTAATAGAATCAGAATAACTAGCTCATGATTTCTTTCTTCTATTAAATCTCACCTACCCTTTAAAGCTTGTAAAGCACTAATACTAAAATTTTGGGCAAAATTGCTGTAATATGATTATATTTATAACGTTAAAAAATGTTCCCATGGTCTTTCTTATGATGTCTTCTTCTCTAAGAGTAGCTTTAGATCTATGGAACTATCAATCCTTTAAAAGGCATTTAACATTTTTATGTGAAAATACAATAATTATCATTGAAATTTTGTAATAATATGAAAATGCTTTATTTAATAATTATCTATAGCAAGCTGGCTGGCTCCAGAAGTGAATAACATTAGAGTGAGAACAGTATTTTGAGGAGCATGGAATGTCCAAAGTTTGGACCATGAAGGTGACAGAATCCCAAGGAATATCTGAATTTTAAAATGTTATTTTCTTCCCAAATGAAATGTGTAGTAGTAATGATTGCTAATGTGTACACTGATTATTAAAAATAGAAGTGTTTTTATTTGCAAATATAATGAGTGCCTTATGACGTTACTTTTGTGGCTACTGTGCAATCTATCATTGTTCAAAAAGTTACACAGTGCAAAGAACATATCATTGAGATGTATAATGTTTGTAATCCTGCTCTTAGATTGATAGATCATGTCTTGTGTTGATGAAAGCCAAGAAATGAATTGCTTTACTTTGACCTTGGGTGTCTGAGATTCATCGGTTTGTCTGTTAGACTTGTTCCAGTGTTCTTCCCACTTCATTTA